GATGGTGATGGTGACAATGATGGTGATGGTATATTGATTAAGATGGATAATACAATAATTGATGATGGATGATGATGATGGATGATGATGATGGTGATGATGACGGATGATGATGATAATACATATCTATAGCACTAAAAGTAAAATTATTCTAATGAATTGGTATGGTCAATTATTAGGTTAGGAGTAAAGGTTATAAAACTACAGACAGCCAGCTGAAAGTACATAGAGTCACGGTGATCTTTCATTTTACCTATTCAAGTGTTAGGAGAAGCATAATTCGTAGCCTTTAAGGAGGCTCGAAACGGTTTTTCTTGAGCGCGCGCGCGCTCTTGGTCCGATGTAGTAGAACTTTTCGTAGTCATAAATTTTAATGTTCAAACTAAAAAAACTCAAAAATTCTGCGGTGAAATTTCTTCAAATTTTGCATAGGGCTTTAGTTTATGTTTTCAAAAACTTAAGGAAAATGTTAAAAAATCTATAAAAGGGAACTATTCCAAACAAATTTTATTGATTTTTATGAATTCCCTTTTACAGAATTTTTTCTTTTTTTTGTCAAAAAGAAGATTACGATACAAAGTTGAAATATTCCAGTTTTTAAAAAAGTTCACCATTTGGTTCCTGAGTTATGATTTTTTAAATAAACATTTTTGATGGTATACCAAGGGTTCTGATGTTGTCATGGCAACGTCTTACGTCATTTTTTCATGTTCATTGTGATCTGTGGTTTATGGTCTTTGGCTTTCCTGGCTTTCTTGCTGTCATATTATAGTCATTAATTTTTTTTAGTTCATAATGTGAAGTCACAAAACCCTTTCCAGCCTATTTAAAGCCACCAGTATATGGAATTACCTTTTCTGCCTTGATCTTGTCCAGCTTATCTACATAAGGATTCATTGTCTTTTCACCAATCAACTTGAGCAAGGTTCCAAGGGCTTCTGCCGCAGCATCTCTGACTGGACCAAATGTGTCATCCATTCTCTACACACAAATTTCAGATATTAGGCCTTCATTGACTAATTAACTCTGCCAAAGGATGCTATGTTAAAGGGGCTGGTTGTACTAAGGGTGGATAGCTCTATCTGATGGGTAAATCCTTATCTATTGGATAAGTTAAAGCTGTTATCCAATAAATTTATCCACTGGATACATTTATCTGTTGGATAGTGCTATCCACCCTTTGTACAACCAGGTCCAGGAGCAGAACCAAGAGTCTGATGGCAGGATGTGGGGATAGGAGTGGGGGAGGCGAGGGTTTGGAGCGAAACAATTTGGCATTTAATTTAGTAAAATCTCACTCCCCCCCTCCCCCCTTATTTAAAAAGTTTTTTTTAAACTAAATCTTTATTACATAGCGAGCGCTACGCAATCACATCAGTGCTCACTATCGAGTTTTGGATGCATGCTCACGCACGCTAATCAGACAATCAGAGCGTGCTTTATATCGTGGCTATGTCATAATGCTTTTGTTTAGTATCTACAGTACCTGGACTAGCAGAGCACATGTTGGCTTGAGAAAAGCTTTAGGTACAGCTGCTGGCGCACTAATCAGCCAATCAGAGCGTGCTTTATATCGTGACTATGTCATAACGCTTTTGTTTAGTATCTACCTGGACTAGCAGAGCACATGTTGGCTTGAGAAAAGCTTTAGGTACAGCTGCTGGCACACTCTTACAAAAACATCTTGTGATGAACTTGATGGTCTCTTCTTTCACACTGGGATTCTTGTGGTCAAGTGCCAATAGGATGTCTTCTTGAAGGGCAACCAAGGTTGTCTGAAATAAAACCGGGAGAAAATTACAGATTAAACACTGAAAGAACCCTTGGTCTGATATAGCTCAGGGTATGGCAAACTCAGATCAAAACCTGAAACAAACTGAGGGTTGATTTAAGTCAGGGCAAGCAATGTTTACTCACAGATGGAACCCTAAAACAACCCCTGAGCTTTGGGCTGATGATATTCAGGACAGGGCTAACTCACAGATAGAACCCTGAAACAACCTCTGGGCTGATCTAAGTCAAGGCATGGCTAACTCACAGATTGAACCCTGAAACAACCTCTGGGCTGATCTAAGTCAAGG